GAGCCCTGGGCTCGCGTTTTGAGGAGCGCTCCGGAATGCTTCGTTCCCAGGATCCCGCCTGGCCCCTTGCTGCAGTCGAGGACGTTGGACATTGGTTTGTCCCGCAGCGCCGCCCTCGTCCCGGGCCGGGGGGTATTGGCATTAATAGCAGAGCGTGCTGTCAGTTATATAAAACAGCAGACCTTGGAAAAGAAATCCGAAACGACAGTGTGCGAGCTCTGTCCGTAAGAGCCAATCTCAGAGGTTTTGTCATTTGGATGAGCGTATTATTTTTGCTTGGGAAATCAAAGAGCCGGCGACTCTGTTTATCCTCCCAGAGTCAGAAAATGCTGCTGCTTCAGCCTGCACTGTGGAAGAGAGAGGAAACAACTGCACTTTTCTTGACTAACAGCACTGTTCTGACTTCTCCTTACTCGCTATTACATGGGAACGTGTCATTATGAGTGGCAAATCTGACAGTGTAATATCAGTTTATGGAAATCCAGTTCTAAGAAAGATGTCACCCAGACAAATTATTCCCTGTTTTAACTTGCCCTTAGACCAGATTTTCTTGTTCATTAACTACAAAGTTGAAAGCATCAGAAAACTATTTAAATACACACTAGCATTTCATTTTATTACTAGTTTTCATTCTGTATGAGTCTTCATTAGCAGCTGCTCTCATGGTTCAAACGAGGTAGCCCAGCACTTGCGGGGCCATTGCTCTCTGCTTGGGCTTGTTGGAAGATGAAACCACTTCTAGTGCATTAAGATGATTTTGCCTCTGAATTTTCACTCATCCTTATCCTTGCAGTTAGGGAAAAAAAGCTTTCTGTGCTTTAGTTATAAGACAATTCAATATTTAGGAAATCTTTCTGGAGAAGTTCTTGAAAAAGGCAGATAAAAAGGGCCAAAACCACGACCACCATTGCTGCTTCTTGAAGTTGTTTTTGCAATATGCAAAGGATTTGGTTTTCTGCATGTTTCGTAAAAAGCTGCTGCAAGTTTGGTGCTTTCTTTTGCAAGTTCCTGTGCCCTCGCACGGTGACACTGCTGCTGTTTGCACTCGTGATGGCAGCTGGCAGTAGTGGGGAGAGGGGAAGATAAGTGCTTTTTTCCCCAAAGCAATGGGGCCAAGACTTATTTTTCAAGCTGAAAATTTTCCACTGAAATATCTTGGTCGACAGCAGTGAAAATAAATTCTTTTGGTTCATTTGTATTACTTGAAGCTTAAAATGATCTTGCAGCATTGGCAGAATCTTCATGTTTGGTAGGTTGGGCTTTATATCCCCGTGCCCTAACAGGTGACATGGTTTGTTCATGGCCAGTCGTGGTTCAGCCGAAGTGCCAGAGCTTGAACTGGAGAATTCCCAGATTCTGGCATTGGGATTATAAATCCTGGATGTGTCTGCGTCCCCAGGAAAGATTATTCTGGCTGAACATTCCCTTCTGTGTTTATTGGCTTCCCGGGGTAGATTGCAGAGCAGTTCAGCAATACTTTGTCACAGTATAGTAGCAATTTTTCCTTAGACAAAAAGCCTCTGGAATCTAACAGGGTTCTTAATGGACTGCAATTATTTAATATTGTAGTAGGAATGCAGTCTAACTCAGATGGGCTTTTCAATGGAGATCGTAATGACTGTAATTGCAAAAGGATGCCTTGCTGAAGCAGAAGCTGCCAGATGCAATGCCGTTCTGCTCTAAAAAGGTCACGGTAAAAGGGACATTTAAATTAAGTTATAAATTACAATTGAAGAACAATATTTTGATGAGCGAGACCAGAGATGTCAGAGCTGCAGGATGTAATTCATGGGTTCATTACGGAACAGGGGTGCCTGACAGCTGAGCCATGCCAAAGGGAGGATTTATTTGCAGCCTCACGCAGACAGAACACGGCAGCGCAGCTGAGGAGCTGGAGCAGCAACCTGGGAGCTCGGGGGCTGCACCGGCTCCCGCTGCAGCCAGACCCGCTCGTTTAACGACCGCCGCAATATAAATGCCATTTCTAGACATGTGCACATTAGGAGCTGTTGTTTAATTTAAAAACCCGCGATGCCAAAGTTATATTTTCTTTGTTCGAGTACATTTGCCTCAATTCCTTCGGTTGCAGTTTTATGCCTCCGTATTGTTGAAGCAGTTCGAAATTTGGATAGCAGGGGTAATGTTAAGAACAATGATTCTCTAGATGACAGGGTAGTAATCCAGTGTTTATAGCAATACCTTGAAAAGTTCAAGCAGAAGTTAATTAAACCGTAGGCAGTCATCATTAGCTGTTATTTATATGTTCGAGTTGCTTGCCAATAGAGTGCTTATATATATTAAATGACTGAAAGTAATAAGCAGAGAATGATCCATCAGCCAGATTAAAGCAAATAAATTTTACTCTGGCACTTACACAAAAAAATATTTTTTGTTTTGCTGCATTATCCTACACCTGAACCTACTCAAAGCATTTTTTTACCTTGTAAAAACTCAGGTTTATTTCATGAGGCACTGAACCTGTGTCAGTACTTCTAGTTTCACATTTGTTGTTTTTTCCCCTTTACATGGCCCTTTCCTCACTTTTTATGCTGTCGGGTTTTGTGATTGTTCTTAATGCAGTTGGTTGGTCGGAAGTTGATGCTGGTCTTTTCTGTGGCCCATTTGGGGCAGTTCTGATGCCCTGCTGACTGTTTTGTGTTCCAGGAACCAGTGCAGTTGCCTGTTAGTCCAGCCTTCTCTTTCAGAGCCTGTTTGAGCATTTGTGGATCCAACCGGACACCAGGGTTGCCAGGAAAGAAACACGTGGTGTTCTAGAGGCAAAATAAAGGTTCTCTGCAGGTTACAAAGAGGCTTTGGCATTTCTGTGTGCCTGGGAGGGAGCAGAAGGGAGAAGAAACAGAAGCAGCACTCTGTTCAACATCAAATTTCTCAAGTAAAAACATATTTTAGGTAATATCATGCACAGAAGCATTCGCTAGGTGAGCTGGCAAAGCAAAGAGTCCTTTTCTGCTTTCAGATTCCCAGTGCTGGAGTACAAACAAGGAACAAGACCAATGCATCCCCAGTAGAAAAGGCAACATCATTTTAAGTAGGCATTGCATAGCACAGAAAGCTTTAAAAAAAAGGTGGTCAAAGCAGTTTGCAGGTTAGTAGTGGTGTTCGAATATTGGCGCTGAGCGCTGGCACAGCTTCCTGATCCTACCCCTAGCTCGTGGCTTGTGGAGGAGGGCCCGAGATGGTCATTTGGGCTACCTGGAGGGGTGGTCGTGGAGCCGGCGCTGTTTTGGTTGTCTCTATTAGTGTCACTGAAATCCTTAGCGCTTCACATAAAATCCTTTACATTTTCCCAGTGTTAGTCAATAGCTGGGGAGTTTTGCTTGGGAGCTTGTGTTCAAGTCCTTGTTTAGGAACCCTGGCGCTTCTGCATGTGGAGACACTTCCAAGCAAATGGGTTCTGTTCTGGGGCTGGGAAGATATTTAGCTTATTGTCACCCCCTTCTTTTTGGCAGCTTTCAGCAGACACCAAGTGGGCTCCTGATTAGTCCCTCTAGTTTAAAAATTCTACTCTACTTGGGGGATAAACAGTTTATAAATCTGTAGTTTGCTAAATGTTTTCTATCAAGAGCTAAGCACTAGAACTTGTCATGGATTCCTTGCTAAATAAGTTTTTTGGTTACTTTTAAACCTCACCCTGATTTAAATGTCTCCTGTTAGCTTCAGACAACTTTTGATCATGTAGACACCTGCTTTTATGGTAAAAAAAAATAGGGTACATAATAGAACATGAGCAGCTGAAGCAGTAATGTCAAATTAGACATCCCTAGTTGCCTGCATGTACTCCTGCAGCTGTTTCTAGAGGTTTTATTTCCCTTCTCCATACTTGTTTTCCAACAACTTGTGGATTTTTGCAAAATAATTAATCAGAATCTGGTGGATGGGGAAACTTCATATCCAATAGCTTGCAATCCCTCCCTCCCATTCACTGGTTCTTCCTCGTGATTATATTAGATGTAATAAGAGATCGCAGCATAAAATAAATGCCTTTTGAAAAACATATTATGTTGGAACTTTTAAAAAATTACTTGCAGTTTCTAATGTGTGGAAAAAAAATACATTTTTTAAAAATTAACCAGGAAGTCTCCAGTGCTTTATGACTTCAGATGTCTTCTGGGAGAAATTCAGGAAGGAAGAGGAAAATGTGTTTGTTTTTAATGCTGTCTCTTCTACTAATAAAACTGAAATTACCCTTCAGGTTGTTTAAATTTCACTTCATATATCAACAGTAGCAATAATTAGATGTAGAACATCTCGTGGTCCCGTTTATTGTTTTTTTTCTCTTTAATATCAGATCACTGCTATTTCCATCAAATGATATATTTGCCTGCTTTGTTTTTTAGCTACATGAAAGTAACTACGACGCTGGAAAAGCCCTGCAGCGGTTGGTGAAGAAACCTGTGCCCAAGCTGATTGAGAAGTGTTGGACCGAAGATGAAGTGGTAGGAAAACTAATTATTCCTTTGAGCCTTGTAGTCCGTGCTGCTTCCCCTTGCCTTTTCCTTCCTTTTTTCTTTTTTTTTCCCCTTAAGAGGTCATCTTTGTGGAATCCTTCTTTGCTGCACAGGATAATTTTGGGGGTTACTGGACTCTTGTTCCATATACAGAATATACGGCTGATTTCTTGTAAATAGAGGTTTTTTTAAAAAAAAGACATAGCAGTGTTTGTTGGATTCAACACAAAACTGGGGTTTTCTGGCAGCAGTTTGAATCCAAACAGGGCTGTGCAGCCCTTGGCTCATCAGACCTTGCAGCTTAAGCTAGCACACAGGTACTTGACTATAGCAAGTGAAACACTAGTGTAATTTTAGTAGCCAGGAGAAGAGAAATGCTGAACAAGCTCATCTGGATCCCATCCTAAAAGCAGTTTGTGTTTTTAATCCATGCTGACGTTAATTGTGCTTCTTAACAAAATCGACTTACGTGAGAAATAATGTGCAAGAAGACAGTGCCTCTTTAGTAAGCTGACTAAGCTTGTCTGGTTTTGTGAAAATAGAGTAAATGTTGTATTTCCTAGCTCAATAATTAGGCAACAGTGTGCCCTAAAATAGCAAATCAGATGGTTGGAATTTGGCTATGATAAAATATGTATTACTGAAAAACCTCAGACATCAGTTACAGTTTCTGTGTTAAACAATCTGAAAAGCTTTTTCCCCCCTAGATACTGTATTGGAATAAATGGAGAGAGAAGTACAGCTTGTCATGTTTACCTACCACATACCCACATGAAAAAACTCTTATATCATAAAAGGCAGCTTCATTCACAATAAAAGTGAGACAGGTCAAAGTATTTTTTGAATTAACTTATTAGTTAGTAAGCTAATTAAAATAAAAATAAATCTTGTAGCCTTGTTAAGCTACTGCTTAAGCTAGCATTGGTGCTGTAAAGTGGAACAAATTAATAATGGGTAAAATTTTCCAGTTCTAGCATTTTGTGTTTTCATTTTTTTTATGGTCCTGTTGCTTTGAACGTCCTTTGGGGAGTTTTGCAGTGAACGTGTGTGCTTCCCTTCTCCTTACATAAACCTTTTTTGCAAGAGCTGGGTTAGGCTAGGCCATATAAACCCGTATTAAAGGAGGCTTATTCTGGAATCCAACAAAGAACCTTTGTGGGAAGGAGACTGCCCAAAGTTGTGGGGTGAAAGAGGATCATGTGCTAACGCAGCAACACAGGAAGGCGAGGATGAGTAAAAAGCCTAGAACACAGTTTCTTCATAAGGTTTACAATCTTCTCATAAAAGGGCATTTTGTTTAGAGCAGCGGCCGTCGGAACAAATATTTCAGAAGTGCCGTGTTCTCTCCTCAGTGTGTTTGTACGTGTGCTGTTTCTACCTCTGCTTTTTCTGCATGCATTCTTTCCCTGAAATGGTTGATTATATCTCCCTGGAGTGGTTAATTGTACAGTGGCAACTGCTCTTTTTTTTGTGGAGGAATTTTGTCACTCTCCTTGTCTTCTCCATAAACTGCGCGTTGAGAGTGTCGTAGCTGCTGCAGCTCAGGGGTTTTGATCAGCAGCCCATGTTAAATGATAGAGAATGGAGCCTTACGATTAAGAAAAAAGCAAAGTTTATTGGCAAGTGAAACATTACTCCAAAAGTGCAAGCTCTGTGAGTACAGAATAATGATCATTAACTCTATAAATCATTGTCAGTCTCAGGGCGTTTTATCATATTTGTTCTTGTTCTGTTCCATCCAAGCTTCCAGAAATATTTGGCAGCCTTCCAGCCTCAGCAGAGCCAAAGATCAAACCGTGCTCTTATTTATAGACAGCTAAGCTCCACCTGCAGAGCCTCAGAGCCTGGTTGTCTCTGGTGGTTTGTGGAAAGCTCCAGATTACAGCAGCTGTGCTGCGCTCCTGAGCACGTCGGGGACCTGCAAAGAAGTTTTTCCTTGTTCTTGGTCCTCCTCGCTGCGTAGGATGTCGTGCATCATGAGCAGGGTGCTGGAGCTCTGGGGGATCTCCATGACAAACTGTTTTTGATAAGAAACCACTGCATGGTTGTGTCAAATGCAAAGCCTGGCCCAAACCATCGCATTTTGGTGAAAACCCTAAGTGTGTCTCGTGATGGGGAGTGATGAGGAGCCTGTGGCTGCCTGGGCACAGGGCAGAAAGACACTTCTCAGAAGTGGAGGGCCCAGGTTTAAACGACGTCGCTGGTTCTGCTGGGCACAGAATTAATCTGTTCTTGTGCCTGGGGACAATCTGCTCGCTGAATTTTCCCAACTTGTATAAATAGGCGGATACCAGGCCCCCTTCCAGCCTCCTTAGCCAAGGAGGGGTCCGGCTGATAGGCAAAGCAGGTATCGTGTCCATTGGAGGCTGGGCTGCATGAAATGTGCTTGATTTTGTTTTGCACATGATATAGCACTGCATGTGCATCTGAATAACTCAGATTCATTGTAGTTTATGTTTATTTTTTTCTGTGGACTATGTGTTGTCCAAAAATTAAGCCTTGTTTGTTAATTAAAACAGCTTTCTGTTGGCTCTGGCCGAGCTATCTAGAAAGAGCTGCCTGCAGTGTGATCAGAACTAATTAGAATAAAGGATGGAAGTTATGTTATTTTTCCTACTGAAGATGTGGTTACAGAGGCTTAGATCAAATTAAATAGAGGATAAAATCTACCAGTGATTGAATTAAACGGAAGGCTCTTGTAAATATGAAGATGGAGGTTTGTTGCCTCCCTTGTGCTTCTGCATCTGTGGCTATATTTAAACCTTTCTCCTTGCAGTGTGTGAATTGAGGGGCGCCCTGTGGAATCCACATTCTCCTGCAACGAGTGGCCGGAGAAGCTGCCTGGGGCCCCGTCCCTGCAGCCCGAGCAGCAGCTGCTCCCTGGTTTAGAGGCTGGGCCTTCAGCTGGCGCCGTCCATCTCCGGCCGGGATGGTGGGAAGGGGCCGGCATCTCCTGCACTGCTGCTGAAGTCACTTTGCAGACCCGTTTATTGAGCAGTGCCCGGATAAAGCCACATTTAAGCCCTTTCTAGGCTCGTGCTGCCCAGAAAAACATGCTGCAGCATCACCTTGTAGTCAGAAATCTCTACTAGGAGTGGAGTGGAGCTGGTTAAAGACTCTTTTCCAGTTGGAAATATTGCAGAAATGACACTGAAACTGTACTTTGAAACACTGGTTTGCAGCTTGTTGTCTGTGGGGAAGCAACGATGCAGATTGCAAAAGGAAAACATACGTATGCATGATAGGACTTAAAAAGAATAGAAATCTAATTAAGTATTTTTGTTTCTTGGGATTGTGCAACTCTTGTACACTTATTGCAGCTGGTAAACAACTGCACAAGTACAAAACACTGGGTTTTAAATATTGTTATTAAAACACAGAAATGTAGAGCTCAAGGAAGGATTTCTTAGGTTGTGATCTCACAGCTCAATCTGGATATTTAAAATAAGATTCTGGAGGGCCTGCTGGCCAAAGGAAAAACAGGCGGCATTTCTCCTCTTATTTGGAAAACTCCAGGCCTTAAAACTCTGTTTTAAAAACATAATCCTGAGAATGAGAGTGACAAAGGAAGTGTTATGTTTTAATTTTGACTCTCGAGTTTGATTTTAGGCTATACAGCGCTGTCTTTGAGGAAGTAAGTACAGCTGCAGCAAAGCTAAACCACCAGCTCCAATCCTTAGGATACCCAGACTCTGATATTTGCTTTCCAGAAATGCCAAGTACGGAGCTAGGGTCTCCAGCTCCGTTCAGTGTAGGCTGAAGTAAAGACCCACATTTTATAGTGTGCATTTTGTGGAATTATTTCACAAGAATAATTGTTCTTATGTAATTTCTACTATCTTGGGATAAAATCTCCAAAAACAGCTTTTCGGTGATGAAAATATCTATAATTTCAGTGATGTTCACCACAATTCTCAACTTATTCTTGCTCTAGGTCAGAAGAAAGAGCTGTATGTGCACACTTTTATTTAAGATAAATGATCAAATGACCATCATCTACAAAGGATATATCTGTTAATTTAATGAAATGGTTTTCAGTTCCAGTACGCCTTGTGTATTGGGAAGGGTGAAGGGAACAGTCCGTCTCTGGCTGTTCTTTACATAACAGTCAGCTGATGTGATCCTGCATTTTTGGTTCTTTACTCAGTTTATGCCTTTTTTTCTGCCTCTTTATCAGGAGCGCCACCAAAATCAATAGGTCCCACAAAAGAGAGAAATACAAATCAGAACTAGAAGAACCGCTAGTTGATTAGGTTTTTAATTAAACATGATGAACACATTTTAAATAACACGAAGGCCTCAGGCTGAGCTGCATCTAATCGAAACAGATTAAGTCACCCGTCCACACTCGGGTAGTTATTAATTCTGTTTATTTATGCATGCTAGCTAAAGGCAGAGTGCACTGCTGCTGCGGTGCAGCTTATTGCGCAGGGACAGCTTTGCTGCATGGCCCTGTACTGCTAATTAGCATTCAGGTGTTGATTGGGAGGAACACTGGTGAGGCTAATTGAATTACCATGAAAATTCGGGGCTGTCTCTTCCTCGCAAAGTTCAGGGAAGCAGGGTGAAACAGGAGCCTTATTTGTTGGGCACTTTTCCATTTCTTCTGCTTGGTGCCTTCTTTACCACTTGTTAAAACTTCACATTTCCTTGGGGTGAAGGTTTTGTTCCTTTTGCATGTCCACATGCCAGACTGTGCATGACACATGATGACATCCTCCTTAACTGGCTCTTATCAGGAAATCTCCTGCCCTTGCAATATTCTGCATTGCTTTTGGTGGAGACCAGTTGAGGTAAAAGTAAAAAAGCCTCCTGAATTTATGTCATAGCATAGTTAATCCTCGCCGGTGATCAAATTTATGAACTTTCTAATCCATGTACATGGCCAATTAGGGTTTAAAGTATCCACACCTGGCTCCAGCGTGAAGCTCATTTGTCAGAAACACAAGTGGGGATCCTTCTGCCAGAAATGGCAGGATACGGCAAAC